TGTTGGAGCCCATACCTTAGCCGAAAAGCAAATACATGATCTGGAAGATGGCGATAATCCTGCATCCAAGTGCTACGATCTCAATCAAGAGAATCCATGATTTGACGACTGAGATTATGCTAATATATTCTCGGTTTCTATAACTTTCCTCCTGCAGATATTAGTTTCCTTATATTATACTGTTGCCTTTAGTATAATTACACGACATTGTATACTCTGTAAAATTAGATCAGACAATAAGAACTTTTTCTTCTTTCCTCTGGTTGTTCTGCAACCCCAAGTTTCGAAGGTTTTCACCGTTTTTAGGGTTCTTCGACGGTTGTGATTTTGTGGGTGAATGTGAAATTAGGGCAATAGTTGGATTTGGGAAGTCGGTGAATTGAGAATCCTGGTCGATCCAATCCTCGTGGGAACTCTTGATTTTGGAATTCCATGGCTATATGATGCCGCCAAGAAATTCTTGAAGACCTTCAAGGTACCACCATATCATAGTTTTTTTTTTTTGGTGTAACCACCATATCATAGTTCACTCAGTCATTTCCACTAATCTCACTGCTGGTTGGAGTTAAGTTCTTGGATCACCTGTGTTGATACATCGTGTTTTGTGATTTCTCAAGCTAAGTTGAATTGCTCTATGCTTTCTTTCCTTCTTTCTTTTCTTCTCATTGTGCATGTAAAATTTCTTTGTAGTGCAGCTTGAAGATCTCCCCGAAATTGATTGCGTGCTGATTACTCAAAGCCTTGACGACCATTGTCATCTGAAAACCCTAAGACCGCTTTCCGAGAGATTTCCGAGCTTGAAGGTTATAGCAACTCCAAATGCAAAGCCCTTGCTGGATCCTCTTTTCAGAGACGTAAGTTAAACATTTGGTGCTTCACCTCAGTTTCTACGAGAACGAGAATACTTGTCTAGTTTACAGTGTGGGAATGCCTGTGCCGGTAATTAGGTTTTCGCCTTTTTCGTTCTCGGGTTCCACAATCTCTGGCTGACATTCCCGAAACCAAATTCTTATGTTCTCTTAGGATTTTCGGTGTAGCTAGCCATAACTGTAAAAGCCTCCAACTACTTATTGGCATCTGTGTTATTTATTTTTTCAACAAGTGATCTGAATAGTCTCTAACTGTGGAAGATGATGATGCTGGTCTTGTATAAGAAACAAAATTTAAGACATGATAACCTCGTTTTCCGATGAATGATTATCTTCGAGTAACAATGTTCGTGTTTGTTTATGACAGTATCTGTATCCTTAGGTTTTCATTTCGAATTTCTTTGCATGATTCAAGGTATGTTCACCAAACATTTCGCTGTTGTTTCTGAAATATTTCAGGTCACATATCTGGAACCCGGCGAAAACTATGAGCTCGGTGCAAGAAATGGTTCGAAAGTTCGGGTGAAAGCCACGGCAGGACCAGTCCTAGGTCCACCATGGCAACGCCCCGAAAACGGGTAAAAATAATCTCTCCATGCTTCCATTTTCCCGTAGCGTTTGTTTTCTCCATTATTTTTGGTCTGTTCGGATTCCATTTTGAAATTCCAGAGAGAAGAGTTCAAAAATGAAGAATTTTCTGTGTTGTATTCAAGTGAATCATCAATTACAACATTTATGTAACCAAATACACATTCTAATCAAATTGTTTTTTCAGGTATCTCGTCGTGTCCCCACGGGAACAGCTTTCCCTTTACTACGAACCGCACTGTGTGTACGACAAGGAATTTCTCGAGAAGGAAAGAGCCGACATCGTTATTACACCCGTCGTTAAGCAACTTCTTCCCAAATTCACGCTGGTTTCCGGCCAAGAAGACGCTGTTCAACTCGCGAAACTCTTGAAAGCCAAGTAACTTTTATCTATCTTTACTCTATATGGACCCGAATTTTTTCGTGCCCTTCTCATTTCCTCAGTTTTCTGATTCCGTAGATTCATCGTGCCGATGAGAAACGGCGATCTTGATGCCAAGGGAATTCTCGCAAGCTTGATCAAGAGTGAAGGAACAATCCAATCGTTTAAGGTTCGGCTTTCTTTCTCTGAAGCCATCTTCGGAAATGGAGACTAGATGATCAAATACTTAGATGACAATTTTTTTTTTCCTGATTGAATTATCGGGGGATCAGTTGGAGCCCTCGAGATTAGGGGCGGTCGTTTCGGGTTTCTGTTCAGGTTCGGTTATTTCGGTTTTAGAACACCATAACTATTCGGTTTTTATATTATATTTGGTTCGGTTTGTTTTTATTTGGCCACTCCTACAAGAGATGAATCGGTCTTAAGCTTTCAAACCGGTGGGTCGGGGACTTGATCTACGGATGTTGTTTACGTGCCACAGGAACTGATGTCGAGAGAGCTGCCGGAAGCTCAGGTGACTGAACCCACGCCGGGCGTGCCATTGGAGATCTCGGCTCCTTCGTCGAACCACTAGAAAGGCCCTTTTTACACTATTTTTCTGTTACGTTTTTATATGTTATATATATATACACACACAAAGTCCTTTTAGCATTGGTCCACACCTTCGTTGTAGTCAGTTTTGTTTTAATTTCACGTGGTCGTGATAAGATTGATGAATGATTTTAGAATCTCTCGTTGATACATACCAAATCCTTTTTAAATTTTATTTGATATGACGTCATATTTAATGAATCGAATCAAACAACAACAAAAAATGGCTCTTGGAAATCGTGAAGAGTCAGGGGAATCCGAAGGAAGACTCGTCACTAATCATATACTCTCGGCCTTATTGGAATTTGGAAGATTCCTTTTTTTTTTATTTGTTATTGGTAATGGAATAATGGATGCTAATATTTTTATTTTATTGTCAAGAATATATTTTTTTTATAAACTTCTCGTAAAGAATATTCCTCCACTCCCACAGTTCTTTTCCCTAATCACACATGTTCCCATAATAAAAACAAATTTCTCTCTTATTTTATGTATGTATTATAAGAAATTCAATGCAACATTCTATTCAGTATGCTTTATTAAAAAAATCAGAGCTTGATTTATATATATTAATGTTTTTTTTTTACTAAATTCGGAGCGAGAAAAGAACGGACGAAATAAATGAGTCTTCGATCTTATCTAAACGCTTTGGAGATTGCCAGCTCACACGGATGCGACAAAAAGCGAATCTCGTTCTCCGAATATTCCAAAAACAAGGAAATTACTGTTTTACCCTCTCTCTCCCTTTCTGTCAATAAAGGGAAAAAAATCCTCTCCTAAAAACGAGAGATTCGTTTGCTACGCGACGCCCCGACCTCGATCCCTTTATCATGTTTTAAGACTTTCTCGCTCTAGAGATCTTCTGGATTTTTTTTCCTTGTTTTTCTTTCGTGACCGTCAAGTTTATTCCGTTTTCTGATTCTGATTAGATCCCATATTCTTCTCTTCCAAGCTGCTTCTTCGTCGTCTTCTTCGTTTCTCTCTCTCTCTCTCTTATCTGTATATGGTCTGTGCCCAGAACCGCCGTAGCAGTTGGAGGGATTGTTTGATCTGTAGGGATTCAAAATGGTTGAGAACGTGGACATGGATGTGGATTGCGCCCAGAAAATGCAGAGGTGTCATGAGTACGTTGAAGCTCTGGAAGAAGAGCGGAAGAAGATCCATGTCTTTCAGCGAGAGCTTCCCTTGTGTTTGGAGCTCGTAACGCATGGTAAATCGAGTTATTCCGATTCTCGTCCCGTGTTTGGTCTGGTTTTGTTGGGTTCTTCATTTCTGGGTTTTGATGGGTCTTTGGTTGTTGTTATCTGGGTCTTTTCCTTCAGCGATCGAGGCGTGTCGGAGGGAGCTGTCAGGTACGTCTTCGGACAACATGTACGGCCAGTCGGACTGTTCTGACCAGACGACGAGTGAGTGCGCTGGTACAGGTCCCGTGTTCGAGGAGTTTCTACCCATCAAGAGGATCTCGTCGTGCGGGGAAGACGGTGAACACGAATCTCGTGAACCCGAGAACGATGGAGATCTGAAAATTGCGAACAACACTGGGAATGATACAGATAAGAAGAAATCAGATTGGCTTAGATCCGTTCAGTTATGGAACCAGTCGCCGGATCCACCATCAAAAGAGGTAATTCATTATTTGGGATGATGTAGATTAGTTTCCCTAGAAAAAAAAAAGATGAGAGGGAAAGTGATAGTGAGCGATTTTGAAGAACCCTAATTTGTTATGTGAATAATATAGGATCAGGCAGCGGAAACGACTTTGGTTGTGGAAGTGAAGCGAAACGGCGGTGCGTTTCAGCCATTTCAGAAGGAGAAAGCTCTTCCG